CATAACGATCAGGATCATGGAGGCAGAGTCTGGCCTTAAACTGAGATGATCTCAAAGATCTAACTTTTGGAGATGGATTATAGTTTTTTTTTTTCTTTTACTTTAGAGCTACTACTGTCTAAAAACTAAAGTAGCAAAATTTAGGAGTGAGTTAGAGCTCTTTAAGCTTAAAGGAATAGTACACCCAAAACATGATTAGCCTTCATTTTCTACTCACCCCCATGCTGAACAACACTCTGGAGTACTTTTTTGATATCTCAAATGCATCTGGAGATCTGGGAGGCTTCTTGCTGTCTGCTGACATTCAAATAATGGAGGTCTATGGTGCCCGAGACAGAAGGTCCATAAAAGTCCACAAAAAACGTGTCAATATTCCTCCATACTGCTCGTCCAATGTATTCCAAGTGTCCTGAGTGGGTAGCATCCAGAATTTACTCGAAACGAAGTCATTTAGAATGTTTTTAGAGCATAAACAGTAGTGTATAGGATTTCCTGAAAGCGCGCGCCCGCACGATCACGACGCTACGGAAGCCGGCAGACCAAACCAGATGAAAGTGCGCATTCAGCGTCTGCTCTGCCGATAATGCAAGCGTAGAAGAAGAAATGTGCTGTTTATCTGTGCAAAGAAAGAAGCAACAAAAGAAAAATGTCTAAGGACTTCAGTGTTGAGGAAGAGCATGAGTTCTTTGCCAAGCTGAATGCGCTGGTTTGGTCTGCCGGCTTCCGTAGCGTCGTGAACTTGCATGCGCGCGCTTTCAGGAAATCCTATACACTACTGTTTAGGCTCTAAAAACATTCTAAATGACTTTGTTTCGAGTAAATTCTGGATGCTACCCACTCAGAACACTTGGAATACATTGGACGAGCAGTATGGAGGAATATTGACACGTTTTTTGTGGACTTTTATGGACCTTTCTGTCTCGGGCGCCATAGACCTCCATTATTTGAATGTCAGCAGACAGCAAGAAGCCTCCCAGATCTCCAGATGCATTTGAGATATCAAAAAAGTACTCCAGAGTGTTGTTCAGCATGGGGGTGAGTAGAAAATGAAGGCTAATCATGTTTTGGGTGTACTATTCCTTTAAGCTTAATTCTCAGAGATGTTTGAAGAAAACCACATTCAGATCTGAAAAAAACTAAACACCTCTTAACTGTAAAGCACGTTGGTGGAGGTTTGCTGGTCTGGGTTTTTTTCTGAAGATACTTAGCAGTTTCCCTCATTCAAGCAGCTGATAAAGATGAAATAATAGTTTTACTTTTTCATCCCTCTGGGTTGAATCTTGGTGAACCATGACGTGTTCTTCTCCCTCGTTATTGTTTTTTGCAGCACGGGAACTGGCCCTAAAACAGGAGGAAGGACGTACCGTGATGTACACGGCCATGGGCGGCGACTGGCGGCCCTTTGGGTTTCCAAGGCGACGGAGACCCCTCAGCTCTGTGGTCCTGGAGGCTGGTGTGGCAGAGAGGATCGTGGATGATGTGAAGGACTTCATTGGAAATCCAAAGTGGTACACAGACAGAGGTGGAGTTTTAGAAATTAGATGGGGGAATAATTCAAACTTTATTTTCTTTGTCAGGGTTTTTTGTCTTTTCTCAGTAGGCTGGTCGTTAAAGCTTCTCTCTCTGTCTGCAGGAATCCCCTACAGAAGAGGATATCTGCTGTACGGTCCACCAGGATGTGGGAAGAGCAGCTTCATGTGAGCGCTCCATCATCAGTCCGTCTCCTGGTTCCTGTTCTGTGGGGCTGTAGCTCCAGAGCCGCCCTGAACGTTTGTGCTCTCCTTTCTGGTTTCAGCACGGCGCTGGCAGGTGAGCTCGGCTACAGCATCTGTCTGATGAGCCTGAGCGACAGGACGCTCTCGGACGACCGTCTGAACCACCTCCTGAGCGTGGCTCCGCAGCAGAGCATCATCCTGCTGGAGGATGTGGACGCCGCCTTCGTCAGCAGGGACCTGCTCCCCACTGAGAGTGAGTGGGAGTCCTGACCTTGTTCTGTTTCTGTCACATTATCCAAGACAAACTACTGCTGTGGGTCATTTTGTTTTTAGGGAAGGTTTCCAGATTAATACGCAGTTTTTTCTCTGCCTTTTCAGACCCGATGGCCTATCAGGGAATGGGAAGGTTGACCTTCAGTGGCCTGCTGAACTCCCTGGATGGAGTTGCTTCATCTGAGGCCAGAATTGTTTTTATGACTACCAACTTCATAGACAGGTATTGTTACCAAACTTTTTAAATAATAAAAAAGCTACCCTTAAGGTTTCCAGAAAGCTCCAGTTAGGTTAATGTTTTTCTCACTATAAACATATAAAAACAGACTCCTCCTGGATCAGCGGATTAAAGCTTTCCGAGCTACACGTTTTGTTTCAAAGTGAACCCTAAAAACATCATCTCCACCTCACATGACTCTATTACACCTTGAAAAACCGATCCATGCCGAGACCGGTCCGAGCTCGGATCAGTTAACCAGGCCGAGCTCGGTTCTGACGGATCGTTTACACATCACACTATCTCGACCCCTCGCCTCCTAGTGACGATCTATGGTATTACTGCCAGTATTGAAGGAGGAAATCAAGCAGTTGGTGGTGGTAATGCACCAAAAGTTGTTTGCCAACCGCCATAAAACACAAGAAGAAGAAGACAGAAGGAGGGAATAAAGCAAATAAAAATGGCGGCGTCCGTCACATTCAGAAAGTTATGCTTGATCATTATTATCATCCCAGGTCGCTCCATGCTCTTTTGAAGCCATTATTTAAAATTTTGCGTGGAGAAGTTTTCGATTACTGTTTATAGTTGTTCTTCTTCTTCTGTTTTGTGTTGGTTGGTAAGCAACTTCCAGAGAGGCATTACCGCCAACTAGTGGAATGGAGTGTGAATCGGGATGTGCAGCCAGACGGAGATGACGCGTTCTGCTCATGCGCTCCTGTTATCAGAGAACCGAGCCAGGGAAAAACCGAGCCGAGCCCACCTCTGGAACTGGTCTGCAGTTAGCTCGGTTCGGTTGTGTCTAGCTCGGTTCAGTTCACTTTGCTTTAAATTTACTCAGTTACTGAACTCGGACCGGTCTCGGCACGGTTTTTCAAGGGTAGTGTAAATGGGGTATACAGGAGCTTCTTGGTCGTCCCTGCAGACTCTGGTTGATCTTTGTCTCAATGTTAAACTGTTCTCTTTTTTATATGGTTTCAGCATACAAAACTGTATAAAACAATCCTAGCTAATTATTATTTTGTCCTTTAGTCACAAGGTTTCGTTTTTGTCCTGAGCCAAAAACAAACAATTTAACATTTTCTGAAAATAGTGATAAATAGAATATCTGAGCTGTAATAACATCCTCTATTTTTCTTTGGATTGTTATCACCTTCCAATATGTAAAAGATCTATTTTCTTCTGAGCAACTTTATATATAGCTTTGTATTTCAAAATCATTCATTTAATTTCCTTTGGCTCATTTTGACTGAATAGTAAAAAGCTGCATTACAGTTGGTGCTCACCTTGATGTAAATAATGATGCGTTCAGGAGCACTAAGAGCAAAAGATCTACCAGTAAAATAGATGATGCAAATTAACCATAGTTGCTTTAGAAATTTGGTATTAGGTATTACCATTTTATACATTCTTTAAATATGTTATATGTTTTTTAGCCATAATTTCCCGATGCTAGAAAAGTCTCTCTTAAGAAAAACAGTTATTCCCAGATTTCTAAACCTTTATTTGACCCTTTTAAAATGTTAAGTTCAATCCAGCTGAATAAATACAGTATTGAAGAAAAGTAAGTATTGTCAGCATTTGTCATCAACTAACCTATAGAACTTAATTCTCTACCCTTTTTCGCAGGTTGGACGCGGCGCTGATCCGACCGGGCCGAGTCGACCTCAAACAATACATTGGGCACTGCACCGCCTGGCAGCTCACCCAGATGTTCCGGCGGTTCTATCCAGACACGCCGGCCTCAGAAGGCGAACGCTTCGCAGAGCGAGCGTTAGCCGCTCACTCTGAGATCAGTGCTGCTCAGGTCCAAGGACACTTTCTGCTCCACAAAAATGATCCGGTCGGATCGATAGACAACGTGGCCCAAATAAAGGGATGATGGACCAGAATGGCACTCAGAGACTGATTACAGAATAAAGACAATATTTAAAAGGAAACGAGTTTATTTCTTCTATGTTTTTATCTAAAACTTTTATTTATGAGGACAAATTGTGATAAACCAGACCACGCCACATTGCAAAAATTTTTTATCTAAATAAGTGCATTTTGTCCTGAATTGAGGGGGTAAGTGAGACACTTTGCCATTGAAGGAGACAATTTACATTTAATATAAGAAAAAAACAACTGCATTGTTTTATTTCAAGGGCATATCATCTAATTCTCTTATTATAAGAGTAAAAATACTCATTACATTGACAAACTATCTTATTTACGTGCACAAATTAAGAGTAAATTCACTTAATTTAAGACATTTTCACTTATTTCTAGATCGTTTCTGCAGTGCAAATCGCACATATGAATACATTGGTTAGGAATATGTTATTATATTTATTACTTTTTACACACGCAGCCGTTTCTTGACCTCTTGGAGTAAAATATGTTTAAAGTTTTATATTTCATTAAGGTGATCTGTTTCTAGTAAAGTCTTGGGTTTTTTTAAATTACATGTTTGTTTTTTAAGAGGGAAATTAATAAAATTTTAAGATTGATTTTGCCACAGCTAAGGAATTTTTTTTCCTTACATGCAAATGTGAATCAAAACGAAAAGCAGTCAAAAGGTTTGCAATGTTGTGTTTATTTAGTGGCGTGCCTAAGCTGCTGCTGAGTCTGCACTAATACAAATTATCCTTATATCACTGATACTTAAACAAATTTTTTAATTTCCAGATTATCTCTGGAGGACAGTCTGTGTTTTAGACATGTTGCTCTATGTGCTGCCTTGGGGTTTCATTATTTTAAAACATTGCATTACCGGTAGTTTCTTGTATGGGACACATTAGCATTAGAACTGATTAGATTTACAACCATAACATGATGATGCATAATATGTGGGATTTGCACCTTGAACAGAATGGATGTGCAGGTAATCAGGAGTTAACCCTGGCCGGAAACATGGAGATTAGTTTTGTGCAATTTGATTGGTTGCCATTGATGGAAGAACAGCTGCTGCTATGCAGAAAACAGATTTCCCCTTCACTGAGAGGAAGCCAAGACTCCTCGTAAAAGTGTTCAAAAAGCCTTACATTGCACTGAGGATTAACCCACCATCCAAAGCAAATTTTGAGCAGCATTATTTAAAGGTCTAATAAATATCCACATTAATTTCCTGCTGCAGTTGCCTCCACTGAATGTTTCTAGGGAGGTGAGCTGGATATTTGAGGAGCATGGCTCCTCCCACTCAGTCTGCATGATTTTAACTGGAGCACTTTTCCAGTTTTTTTTAGTAATGGCTGCCCGGCTGTCGCAGAGATTACAGTCTGGGAGCTGTGGCAGATGGCTGCAGCTATGCCCCATTTTTAAAGGCCATGTCTGCTCCAGAGGACTGGGAAGGGCCTCCTCTCTCCAGCAGGAAAAGCTGCGGACGGTGGAGGACCTCCCTCGTGTCAGCCCCTTGGAAATGCTTTTCAGAATCTTATTCCAGGGTTATTTCCACCGTATGCAGGAGTTACAGGTAGGTCTGGGTGTGATGTATTGATTTGACAGCAGCTTTATAAGAGGATGATGCACACAGATATCAGACAGCAGTCAGATTTTTCCATTCATCCTTTCACAAATTGTTCTTTTTTGTGAAAACTGACAGACATGCAGGCAAATAGAATTACTTATTACTAATCCTGGTGGGTCTGAATATTTTTATGGTTGCAGTTAACTTGCCCTGTAAATGCAAGATAAAATCAATGTTTAACAGGAAACGTGACCTTTGATCCTACAGATGAGGGTTTGTGGAGGGATACGTTTCAGGGAAATGTTGTGGAAATGTGTAATTTTTTTAAATTCCCTAAAAAAAGAATATCCTGTGTTCGCCTTACTGCTGCCTTTTCCTGCTTTTAATTGTAAAAGTTTTGATTCTGCATAAAGAAGTTCATAAAATGTTTTGTCTTTGGTTAAGATCTATGAGAGGAAGCTGTATGGACCCATTTACAAAAATGGACGTAATGCTGTTTCTGTGACCACTGCTCAGCTGCTGGAGGAACTGGTGAGGATGGATGACAAGTTTCCCTCCAGAGCAGACCTGTCTCTGTGGACAGAGTACCGCGATATGAGAGGACACGGCTATGGGCCGCTTACAGAGTAAAGCAAACTCCTTAATGCTCTCCCTTTAACAGTTTCATTGAAGTGGATGAATATTGGACTGGTCTTTTTAGCATAATTAGCAGAGTCAATTTAAATGTGATGCTTTTGTATCAGTCCACACATTTCCAGATGCATCCAATTTTCAACCATCTACTTTCTAATTTTTGGCTAATTTGAAGAATTTAGGCCTGCTCCTTCTTTATTCCAACATATTCACCCAATTCACCAGAACTCTACGCAATTAAATACTGTTGAACATAACATGAAGCTTTCAATTCCCATCCAGGAAGCTTTATTAATTAAAAACATCAGAAAAAGCACTAAATTCAAGACTTTATAGATTGGACCAAAGCAGGCGAGTGTCAATTCCACCATTTTATATGTGCATTTACTGTTTGTTGTATGTTTATTTCTCTCTTATAACAGAATTTGTTGAGTTCTTTTTTGGGTACTCTACACACCTCTGCATAATAATGACAATGATAGGGCTGTGTTTTTTAGCCCTTGTCCTAAAAGGCACACTACCTTGTTTTAGATATATCTCTGCTTCATCATACCTGATTCAGATGATGAAAAGACAGATACAGAAACCTAAGGTCCATGGATTCATTAACCTAAATCTAATGTAATACCTGCGGTTTATCCCCAAGCATTGGTGGATAACAAACCTAAACCTGAGGCCAATGGATTTAAACCGACTTCATTAACATCCTGCAGGGACCAACTTCTGGCAGATGGGACCTTCCAGCACTGAATGTAAAAAGGGGGCTACATTGCCAATATAAATAACTAGCCAGTGACAAAGAAGTATGTAACAAAAAGATTAAACCTAAACTAAGTAAATAAGCCTTAGTCTGCGTGAAACCAAATAGTTTTTTTTCAAAGCATCAAAACATTTTCCATCAAACCTTAAAATGTGCTTTTACTCCCAGAACAGGGGAGCGCTGGTACAACCTGAGGGCGGTTCTTAACAAGCGCATGCTCCATCCGAGGGACTCTGCTCAGTACGCTGGGGTCATCAATGAGGTGGTTACAGACTTCATTAAAAGGATCAAACATCTGCGTGAAGCCAGCTCAACAGGGGATTTTGTTTCTGACGTTTCCAATAAGTTTTACCTATTTTCATTGGAAGGTAAGTTTAAGCAGCATTTCTAAGTAATTAAACTTTTTTTTTGTTTGTTTGTTTTTGATTATTTAGTTTTTGCCTCACAGGTATTGCATCTATATTGTTTGACACAAGACTTGGCTGTCTGAGAACGGAGATTCCTGCTGGTACTCAAGAATATATCGCGTCCATCTCGCAGATGTTTTCCAATAACTTGCCTGTTGCAATATTTCCAAAGTGGAGCCGCAAACTGCTTCCTTATTGGGGGCGCTACATCACCAGCTGGGACAACATCTTCGCTTTTGGTAAGTTTCTAAACTTTTATACCTAAGTGCTTTTGAACTATTTATTGTTGCATGATAAACTACAACTGAACTGGGCTGCAAACCATTCAGACATGACTGTACCCTTTAAATAAGTTCCCTAAGCTGTAGCTTAGTATTCTACTAAATCAAGCTTCTCACAACTTTTTTTTTATTGTGTCCCTATATATTCTTATTCCTGACAAACAAAAAATAAAATTTTATCAACTTGAAGTAAAACTACCTAAAAATAAAGTGCTTCTTGTCAAGGGTGTAGGTTTGATTTCGACTTTGGTAGGGACATTATTGGTCTTATGTCATTTTTATGCTTGACGTGAAAATCAGGGTGTATTTTGTTTAAAGAGAAAAGCAGCATTTCTTGCTACATTTGTACAAATTTTATAAGCGCTACACACACTCGATGCTGTTTATCAATGTTTGAAGCATCATCAGCTCTGATGAATGAGGAATTATGACTTTTTTCCACTTTGAAAAGGTCTCAGACTCAGACAGAAAGTAAATATGTGCCTATTTAACAAAATATAGTCTAAATATTTCTGCTATATGTGGATCTATCCTGTTTTTTGTTTTGAAGATATACATTTGTACAGAGGGAAAACCCACTCTTATTGTTTAAATATTCTCTCTGTATCATGAAACAAAGCAAAATAATAGATTCAAAGAACACCAAATAAATTTATTGTATTAAATGAGCACTGGAACTGACACTGAATATTTAGAATATTTTCACTCTATAGGTCATCTAAGCTGTAGTTACTCTATTTAACTCATATCATGTATTTTATCTTGCTCTGAAACAATTCATTGGAATAATCAATTATTGAAATGTCAACAAATTTATTAATCAATGAATCAGTAACTGGACTATAGAGACTCTAAAACATGTCTTTAGGTCACACATCGACCCAGTTAGAGCAGGAATTAACCCAAAATCGTTAAAATAAAATATCTAAATAAAAATGTTTTTGTCTTTTAATATTTTCCATCCCCTCTACTGCTGCAACAAAGCTGTATTGTAAATTATAAACATGTTATTCACATCTAATTGTTGGTAGGGATAAGTAGGTTGGTCCAAAATTTTGGTAGGGACATGTCCCTATGGTCCCTATGCAAACCTACGCCGCTTCTTGTGTCTTTTTGCTGTCCTTTGTTTCCAATTTGAAGCAACAGGTAACAAGCAACAGCAACTGTCCGCAGATGTTAAAACTCAGCCACATCAGTCAACAGAACAGAGCATAGCTTTATCTCTGTAGGCTGTGGTTCACCTTCTCCATACTCTCGCTGAAGATCATAATTTCATCTGCAAACATCATAATCCATAGATTCTCCTATGTATTATCCCATGCTTGACCTGTGCCAGACACCTCACCACCTACTCACTATCTTTGCTTGTGTATACCCAGTGTGCACTTCTGCATCACAAGTATATTCACATTATAAAGCAGATAATCGGTTGTGTGACGTCTGTTATGATTCAAGCGAAAACTTTGATCGACAAGAAGATAGAGGACATCCAGCAGCGAGTGGACAACAACCAGAATGTGGAGAGTGAATATCTAACGTACCTCCTCTCAAACAAGAATATAAGTACTAAGGACGTCTACGCCAGCATCACTGAGCTTCTTTTGGCTGGAGTGGACACGGTAATGAACTCATTATTATAAAAGCTTTTATTATAACAGATCTGTATGTATTGATGTTAGAGTTTGAATCATATACAAGGAACTTTAAATTTGTTTGTGACTCCTCTACTCAATCATGCATATTTTATGCTTGTTTATGTTAGTAGTGTTAATAAGTATTTGTTTTTATTTCAAAGACCTCCAACACCCTCACATGGGCTTTGTACCAGCTGTCCAGGAACCCAGAAATCCAGGACAGACTTCATGAGGAAGTGTCCACGCTGGTACCTGCAGACCAAATCCCCACGGCTGCAGAGGTCACCCAGATGCCATTTTTACGAGCTGTGATTAAGGAAACTCTCAGGTAGGAGTGCATGGAGAAGCCTTGGTGTTAGCAGAGTAATCACATAGAGCGCTTTTATAATCGTCTAAATATTTTTGTTTTCTTTTAAAGGATGTACCCCGTGGTTCCTATAAATTCAAGAATCATAACTGAAAAAACAGTTTCTGTTGGTGGATATCAGTTTCCAAAGAATGTGGGTCTAACATTTTGAACATATTTACTATAGAATTTTCTCTTACTGCAAGATAATATAAAATATATTGTGTGCTAACAATGTTAAACTTAAGCTAAGATCAACACAATAAAAAAAATCTATTCAATTTTCTTTTCATTTTTTTTTTTTTTTTTTCCCAGACTTGTTTCACTCTCTGTCACTATGCCATCAGTCATGATGAGAGCATTTTCCCAGAGCCGTTCAGATTCCAGCCGGAGAGATGGCTCCGTGACGGCCGCCAGAGGCCACATCCATTCAGCTCCATCCCATTTGGCTACGGAGTTCGAGGCTGTGTTGGTCGCAGGATTGCAGAACTAGAGATGTATTTGGTTCTGTTTCGGGTAAGTCCAAAAAAAAACCCAACATGTATTTAAAAACCTATTGTTAGGATGATATCATTGGATTTCCTTCAGTATGTATACACCATAATCATAAAAATTTACATTATTCTCAATGTATATCTGTCATTATCTAAAGAGTTTTTCACTATTATATTTCCCCATATTTTGGTGTCTTTTTCTCAGCTTATTAGGGACTTTAAAATCAAATCCGGACCCATGATGGACGAGCTGAAGATCCTCAGTCGGGCTGTTCTGGTTCCAAACAAGCAACTGGACCTGCACTTTGTGGACCGATGATGAAGAAACACTGATTTTCTCAACAGTTTGGTTTAACAGTCACATAAAAAGCTGGTAGGCCAATGAAAAACTCTAAAACCATTAAGCAACAACTCTTTTTGCAGTCACAAAAAACACCTAATTAGATCTGAATACATTCAGATTATACATTTAAAATATAATGCATTTCCCTCTTTATCATCAGGGGGTATTTCTACTTGTTTGTGTCTAATAATATGATCACATGTTTGTATATTTGTATACCTTGGTCATCCCTTCATTGTATTCGATTCTATTCTGTAATAATGTAATAATGAAAACTTTTATATTTGTTGGTTGTATATTAAAGGATGTTTTATTTTTCTGGCGTAAAGTTAAACATTCTTATCTGAAGTTGCACAGATTTCTTTAATCTCTAAATAAATCAAACTAAAAAAAACGTAATTTTATTAAACATTTATTTTTTGTTCTCTCAAGTCATCAATCTATCCACCTTCTACTTACTGCAGCTCGCAATAAATACAGTTGTTATACACTTTTTTGTCTGCATCTTAAATCTTGTGTGGCATCTCGTTTGAGAGCACTGCTCCCCTCATATTCAAAGAGTTCATATTGCTAAGAACTATAAAATGGTTCCCAGTACTTTTAGAAGAGGAACCTGCCCAAAGGATAACACAGTACTTCCCTCACTATGCAACCCTTTAGTGGGTGATGCAAACCTTTTTTAACACATGTGAAAACCTGAAGGATTTGTTGCTAATAAGCTCAATCTTATTGTCATCTGAGCAAAGCTCATATTGACACATTTGCGGTAAGAGTACAAAAAAGCTTTTGTTATTGAAACTTGATTACCTAAAATGCCACTTTTCTGTTTTTCTCTGACTGACTGCTTAGGATATTTCTCCTGGTGTCTGAAAAGGGGAAATAAACAAATTAAAACAGTTGAGAGAGACCTGGGAGGGGGCTGAGGGAATTGCTTTACAAACTAAATGAAGCACAGAACAGGATCCAATAACAGAGACAGTGATTCTGGGTACCATAATTGTAGCATCTAGCTTCTGTTCCTTCTCCTTTCATTCAGTCAACAACACAAATCTGTGCTAAGCCTTGACAGCCTTTTGCCTTCCTAAAGTCCATACCCCACTGAAACAGACATGGAAGGTGCTACCCAGATTGGGACAACAGGCTTCTGGAAAAGAACCACAAAAAAAACAAAGTTTAATAAAGTGAACAACTGAAGCTCTCAATTATAAAACCCAAAACTTATGAAAGTACTTAAAGCACATTTGAATGTGCCCCACAAAGCAGGAGTGAAGCAATTATGTTCTTTTTAGTTAAATACCATGAGGAGGTCTGTGCTTAAACATCATGTTATGCAAAGGATTGTGGGATTCCTTTTAGACCCTAAGTGTCCAATAGGAACACCAGACGGAAGATGGAACTATTGTTAGGAAGCATCCCGATTCCTTTTCCTACCTCCTTCCTCACTACCAGCACTATTCAGACCTTAAGAGTCCTTAATGATTTGCTGTTTTTTGCCTTCCTTCAGTCTCCTTAAAACACCAAACTGAAAGGTAACAAAGGAACTGAAAAGGAGGAGATCAGGAACTGAATGAAAAATATAGATTTTAAGAATGGAATCAGACTACAAAGCATTTCAAATTACACTCAATAATTCCCCCATTTAGATGCTGACGGTGGCAGGCTTCAGCTACAGGTTTCCTTGGGCAGACTAACAGAAGGGTTTTGCCGATGCCATTTATTGGCCCCGATACCGATACCCGATACCTGGCTGTGCAGTATTGGCTGATACCGATACCAAATGTTTGAAATTGGTGTGTGTGTGTGTGCATATGAAGAACTGCATACTACTTGGACGTAAAATAATTGCCATCATGGCTTTTTTAAGCTGCTGATTGTGAAGCAGGATAAAGACCAATACAAAGTGAATCTAGTAGAAATTTTTATTGCCTACCTGGAATGGGTGACAATAGTTGAATAAACATTTGGCTCTCAAAATGGTATCAGTGCCCTATTTGTTGGTACGCGTCGATACCGATACCACCATTTTAGTGCTAGATCAGGGCCCCGGCCAATACTGGTATCAGTATCGATGCAACACTAGTGGCTACTATACAATTGGCCCTCTGATCACCAACAGCTCGAAAGGCAGGTGAGACGTCTTGCTTAAGGACACGGTGATGGAAACAGACCAGCAACCCCGTGGTTATAGGACGACCGCCTACTTCAATCACCCTGAAATAAATCAGGCATCAAGGTCTACAAAGTGAAATGGCTATTAAGAGGTACATTAGTACAGATTTCTGATCAACACAATGAATAAAGAACAAAAGTAATAAATCAACACTAAGTTCTTCATGTTAATAAATGTTTAGGTGAAGAATCTAGTTTACACTGAAGCAGTCTAAGTTTGTATTCTTCGAAAAGTAGTAATAAGTTAATAAAAAAGATGGTTCTTAGTCCTAAACAATCTAACACCAGAATGTATATGAAATACAATGATTTCCTCTGGGCCTTAGTGGTTTATTTTGGCTATCACAGCATGTTGTATATCATGTGCTGCTCCAAAGGTTATATAATTCAGAAGGTGGGAGGAAAAACTCTTGTATCCGCAGGTTTTAACATGGGTATTTTCTAAAATTGGCAAACAAGCTTCATTCTTAGAGCAGATCAGCTTATAAGAATGTTTCCCAATAATTCAAGCTGGACTAAATACTTACCTGCTCATTTATTTTCCTTAGTCTGTGGACTTATTTTCTAAAAGGCAACTGCTTTTGTGTAGTTTTCAATTTCAATTCCAGAGAAATCTAAGAACTTGCTCAAATCTTACAGCCGCAAACCTCTTCCGTTGTTGCTGTTTGTCTTGGTTTCTTCTTCAAGCCTGGTTTGGATGGGTTAAATAATCTGCTTGACTTGGCCCCTCCCTGCTCTACAAGTAACTTAGATGTAACAGGAGCTGCCTGTTTTCCATTCGGCTGTAATGGCTGCGTGGCTGTCACGGAGAGCACTGTCAGGGAAAACCACCTGGCTGTTGTCTTCCAGCCCTGTTTATAAGAGCCATGTCTGCTGCAGGAAGGTGGGCAGAACGTCCTCTGCTCCTGGAGCCCTCTCTGCCCTGCAGGACAAGCCTCGGACTGTGGAGGACCTCCCTCATGTCAGCTCGTTAGAGATGCTTTACAGGATGGTGTTTCAGGGCTACTACAACCGCCTGCATGAGCTACAGGTATGTCAGAGTCTGATCTGTATGTCCAGCTGTTCTGTTATACAAAAACAAACCACAGAGAAGCTGCTGGTGAAGAGTTCTGTTTGTTTCTTTACTGCCTTGTGTCTCCAGCCACCATGCATGATTGATAAAAATGTTGCACAGGAAACACCCCCTTTGTTTCCACAGCAGCTGGTAGATAATAGCAAGAGGAAGGCATTCCTCTTCTTGCAGGACCAGTTTGTATAAAGTGAAAAGCAATCAGATGAACTCTAGCACATATATCTGTTTATCGGCTAAGTAAATCTGTAATGTTCCCTAAAGTCAGAGAAAAGTAAATCTGAAGCAATTCTGCTTTTACTGATGTCTTGTTACATCAGAAAAAGGTGCAAGTTTAACTTTTTATGTCAAGGATATTAACAGTTTTTTTTTCTGCCCTGTCAGCTCTATGAGAAGAAGCTTTATGGACCCATATACAAAAGCGGACTCAAGACGGTGTCAGTGAACACCCCTCAGCTGCTGGAGGAACTCATGAGGAAGGATGAGAAGTTTCCCTCCAGAGGAGACATGTCTCTGTGGACGGAGTACAGAGATATGAGAGGATTTGGCTACGGGCCGTTTACAGAGTAAAACAATTTATTACTGATCACTTAAATTCCCCGTATCCAGGTTGAAAGAAAACAAACAAAAACACTGTTATAAGGCTACCCAGAAATAAAGGTCATGTGTTGAGTAATTGAAAAGGTCTGATTCAGACGGCTGATGAAACACATTACTGCTTCGTAAACAATGTTATGCTTACTGGTTTAGTCTGAAGCTTTGTCTAAAAAAACATGCATGTTTTTGCAAATCTGCAGACCACATTTTTTTGGACAAACCTGCAAGAAACAAAAATGCTTTTTTTAAGAGTTGAGCCTTTTAAAAAATCTGTTGGAGGTGTGTATGTGGAGTATACATCCTCAGGATATTCAAACCGATAATGCAAAGACCCACTGTGCACATGCATACACTGGCCTTCTGTGCTACAGATCTAAACAACAGGGTTTGCAATGCCCAGCTTTTATCTTTATCTATTCCACAGGTAAAAAGAGTACACAAAATTGCACAAAGTTTTGGGTAAGCAGCACTTCAAAGATATGTAGTTTCTGAAAAACTACATATTGGAAAGCAAAAATATGTATATCTACTGTTTGGTTTGTTAGCTGTTTGTGTAGAACATATGATTAAGCACAAAATTTTACTGGATAATTGTGCATATCTTAGGGCTCCAGGGGATTCAACTTAAAACCAAGTCTTTTAGAGCAACATTAATATTGGTGTATGCATTACATGTGTGTAGAAAAACTGCTTGTGGGAAAATGCAATTCAGACCATATTTTAATGACCTGATAGAGATTTGCATTGTGTTTCTGCATCACAACCACTTCACTCAGCATAACGCATTCAACTTGATTTGATCAGTTTTAGGCTATTTATCTATTTGCCCATATTTCTTAGGAAAATATCAACATTTATTTCTGCTCTCAGGGAAGGAGAGCGCTGGTACAACCTTAGGGCGGTTCTCAACAAGCGCATGCTTCATCCAAGAGACTCTGCTCAGTACTCTGGGGTCATCAATGAGGTGGTTACAGATTTCACAAAACGGATCAAACATCTGCGGCATTGCAGCCCAACAGGAGATCTTGTTACTGACATGTCCAATGAGCTGTATCTCTTTTCACTAGAAGGTAGGTGAAAAAAAAAATTTTCTAAACAAAAAACAAAAAAACATTTTAATGTAAAAACATCTCTTTGTCATCTAGGTATTGCCTCCATACTATTTGAGACAAGGCTCGGCTGTTTGGAAAAGGAAATGCCTTCTGGTACCCAAGAATTTATTGACTCCATCGCTAAGATGTTTTCCAACAGTATGGCTGTGGTGTTGAGTCCCAAGTGGAGCCGTGACCTGCTGCCATTCTGGAAAAGCTACATCGACGGCTGGGAGGGCATCTTTACCTTTGGTGAGTGGGAGATACCTCCCGGCTATATACTGTTTTGGTGAAAACTCTGTCCGACATATAGGAGATAATGAACATGAATCAACCATAACAAACATGCAGATACCTATAAATAATAGCAGACAGAGGACCTCACTATTTGAGCAGATAACGCAAAACTTTATTTTTCTCCTACTCTAGCTAAAACTTTAATAGATAAAAAGATGGAGGACATCCAGCAGCGAGTGGACAATAACGAGGATGTGGAGGGTGAATATCTAACGTACCTCGTGTCAAACACCCAAATGAGCACCAAGGACGTATACGCCAGCATCACCGAGCTTCTCTTAGCCGGAGTAGACACGGTACTCAGCTCATTCCTACATTCAACAAAAACAACGACCAATCTGGCTTGATTACTTGGGTTATTATTGACTCATTGGAATAAAAAAAACAATGAAAAATGGTTGAATGTAAACATTGATTTTATTCGTAGTATTACAGATTGATGGTATTTAGTGACAAGGTACTTTTATTTAAATGATGCATGCAGACATACACGTCACTATATATTTTGACAAGTATATGTTGTTTTTTTTGTTTTTTTTTCAAAGACCTCCAATACCCTTACATGGGCTTTGTACCAGCTGTCCAGGAACCCAGAAATCCAGGACAGGCTTCATGAGGAAGTGTCCACGCTGGTACCTGCAGACCAAATCCCCACGGCTGCAGAGGTCACCCGGATGCCATTTCTAAGGGCTGTGATAAAAGAAACTCTCAGGTAGGACTGCATGGAGAAGCCTTATTGTTTCTAACCAGGGTAATAAACTACTTCACGCAAATTATCTTTCAACAGGATGTACCCAGTGGTACCCATGAATTCAAGGATCATTACAGAAAAGCCCATTTCCATTGGTGGATATCAGTTTCCCAAAAAGGTAGGTCTGATTTTTCGCTGTAAACCAGTATAATCTGTAACACCTTTAGAAACATTGGTAGTATTTACTATCACAGTAAAAAGATTTAGGTTTAGTTAGATGTTCCCTGGAAAATTGAAGTAGGCTGTGAATTTTAATAAACTCTGTTTTTTTTTTTTGCAGACTTCTTTCACTTTGTGTCACTATGCCATCAGTCATGATGAAAACACATTTCCTGAGTCGTTCAGATTTAAGCCGGAGAGATGGCTCCGTGACGGCCGTCAGAGGCCGAACCCCTTTGGCTCCATCCCGTTCGGGTATGGAGTTCGAGGCTGTGTAGGCCGGAGGATCGCAGAACTGGAGATGTATTTAGTTTTGTTTCAGGTGAGATATGGACATTTTTATATCTTAACCGTGTGTTTAGATAAGATAAAATCCAAACATGGATAATTAGTAGCAACATAAGAGAGTGGGGTGTCATCTGCATAGAAAGAGATAATCGTTCTCTGATACTGCCTGTTGATAGACCATGGAAGAAGAAATAAATACCCCATCTAAACTCAAAATATTGCAGGATGGCGTAGTGTAACCTGCATGAAAAAATTATCTTTTGTCTTATAAAAGCCATATAAATGTTAAGTTGTGAAAGGCTTTGTGAAAACATTTGGCTAGCAATTCGTTTTGTTACAAAAAGAGAATTTATATTGCCTCAAATTACACAAAAAACAATGAGCTTTATGAAAAATATCTCTGAAGCAAAAAAAAAAAACACAAACAAATTCAATCAAATTGAACTCCAGGCTCCTCAGGACATTAAAACTTCAACAATTTGTAGTAAGGTGACAGTGTGAGACAACAGATCCTTTATACAGGCCTCACCACAGTTAGTTATTACAACTTACACTGACTTGGCAGAGTTTTTTTTAATGTCAGATAGAAAAAAGATTAAGACCTGTGTCCTCAGGTCTTAATCTGTTCGGTCCATCTCTAATGATACATAAAATAAATGAAACAACTTTATTTTCGTTTATATCCTTTTTTTTTTTTTTTCTCTTCAGCTTATTCGGCAGTTTGAAGTCAAACCAAACCCGACAACTGGAGAGTTGAAAAGCATCAATCGTACAGTTCTGGTTCCAGACAAACAACTGGACCTACACTTTGTGGACAGAGGATGAAGAAACAGGATCTTGATGGACTCTTACATGTTGGGCTGACAGAACTATGTGCACATTGCTTTTATTACAGGAATACAGCTTTATAGTAATGTGGCTGTAGATCTTTAATACATGGAGACATGCAGAACAGAACTATTTTTCATTTAGCATTAGAACTCACTTAAACTAACTTTTTCTCTAATAACTGTCCCATATATGGAGCTCCTGTAGATTCTACATTGGTTCTTTCCATCTCATCAGTTACAAATTTATCTAATGAGCTTTAATTTTTAAGAAAAAAAATACTAAATTATAGTTTGCACACTGTTCTGTTTACAGTTTCATTCTTGCTTTGAACCTTTATTCATTTGAACCTACTATAGATGCAATGGAAGCAGAGATCAGGTTGACGCCACAAAGAAAAAAGTTTCAATGCTTGGAGTAGGAGGCTGATCAGAGCTCAAAGCCTAAAATATTTGGATCTGATCCAAATTAGATATCTTTTACATAGCTGACCAGCTGTGTGCCATCAGGAAGGACTGGGAATGTCTCTAATCACAAGTGGCTCTCATGATGCATTTGTAAGATGATCCAAGCTTGAAAAAAAGTGGGATGTTTTGGAATGTGGCTCAATCCTAAACAGAAGCAGAGTTTAAACAGCAGGGTAGACGTGGATATTAGAGTCCAGACTTGGGTACAGTAGCTCATCCACAGCAGGGAAGTGTTTCAGATTAGGTCTTACGCTCATTTACAAAAATGTTTGCTAGACCATTTCTCTCACCTTACAGATACTGCAGAGCTCAGTGAGGAACATGGGAGTCTTCCCAGTAGCCCTTAAAGCACCATTTCCAATGTTTACGTCGCTGTTCAGTTTTGAGGTCTTCACAAGTAACCCTCCCCATTTCCCCCCCTGGTTCTTTAGTTTATTGCAGTCATTTGCCCAGAACAAAAAAAAAAAAAAAATTCACATTTTAATCACTGCTGCACTTTAAGAAATGGCAATGTCAAGAGCTGTACTGAATGAAATTTCATTTTATGCACCCTGTTTGTACAACACAATTTTGTCTACGACTAAGAGACCTCCCTTACAAGGGTCAAATGCTCCTTTAACACACCCTTCAACCACCAACAAGACACACAAAGTTCAGTTCCAAATTTATTCAAACATACAATTAAAGCAGATATACAATAGAAGACATGACATCTCATTAGCACCCAGCCTTCATCTGGCTGTGAGGGGGTAGTGGTTTGTTCAGGTGGATGCCCACAGTAAGCCCGAACTCTTTGCCAGCGTGCTTCTCATAGATGTCAGGCTTCAACTGGAAAGCCTTCTCATCAAAGCAGTCCAAGGGCATGAAGGACAGGGGCTTCTCTTCCAGGAGACTCTGCAGTCTTGTGCGCCAGCTCTCCAGCATGCTCTTGCGATCTTCAGGTGCAGCAGAAGAAGGAGCCCAGAAGATCTGAGGGGCCAGAACCTGGAAGCCACAGTAGTGCAGGATACCATTCTGCAGAGAATAAAAAAGGAGTTAGATCATGCCAGTTTAAAATAGAAATGATAACCACTACATTACCTGTAGGGGCCACAGTGTAACATTCATGTCTCCGTTAATGCCAGTGGGGCTGAACATGGATTCCAGAGATCCGGTGGTGAAGGACAACATGGCTTTCTTGTCCTTCAAGTAGAAACCAGTTAAAGACGAACTTCAGATGTAACCAAAAACCTTCATCATTAAGCCCTTACCTTGAAGACTCCCTGGCTGTAGCGCTTCTCTTTAGAGAAAGCAAAGCCATTGGTGAGAACTCTGTCAATCCAGCCCTTCAGGATGGCAGGAACACTGAACCAATACATGGGGAACTAAGGAAAGAAAGAAATTCACTAAAAAAGGTCAGCATTTAATCACCATGAGCAGAGATCTTCCACAATACCTGAAAAATGATGAGGTCTGCCTCAGTCAGCTTCGATTGCTCCTTGGTGATGTCATCCGACAGTTTCCCCTGTTCCCATGCAAGTTTGGTCTCCTCAAGATAACAGAAGTTCTCTGCATTTTTCACTTCTCCTGTGCAAGAAGAGGATCATCAGACACAGAAGTACCCACAGAACATTTCAGCCCAGGTTGCTTTATACCTTTGATGTCCTCAGCTGTAGCAGTGGCTTTAAAACTCATGGCATACAGGTCAGAGACCTCCACTGTGCAGCCCTGGGCAGTCAGAGCCTCTACAGCAGCATTTTTGGCTGCAGCATTGAATGATCCAGAGCTCTGGTGAGCAAACACTATCAGCACCTTCTTTACTGCAATGCAATAAGAAGCATTTGATTGTCATTGCAGGACATGGTATCATTTATCACAACAAAAAGCTTGAAGAACTACTTACCCATTCTGAAACTGGAACTTGGATGTTTAGACACAAACTCAATGAAGAAAGAAAAGCCACTGCATATATTCCAGACATCCTCAGCTGCCTTTATATACAGCTGGTGCTACAACTCAGTCAGGTGTTGACAATTAACAATCTGTCCAATGATCTACTCACCAGCAGCATAGGATGATTTCAGATTCCAGTTTCACAAGAACATGAAAGCTGTACAAGTTGGTTCTTTTCTTGCAATGAATAACATTTCAATCAATTACATACTTCCAGAAGCTATAAATCACAGACTTTATGTTGCCTTAAAGCATATTTTGTTTTTTGGCACTCTGTCCAACTATTACTGATTTGATGTTCTGCATCTGGAGAGTTTTGCTTGTGGTTTGCAGTTAATTCAAAATGTTAGTTCAAGTGCCATTGCTGGAGCCTTGGCTGCGTGGTACAGATTGCAGTGAATAATGATGGTGCTGGTGGAACTTTATGATATGAATAATTTACAGAACATAAAATTATAATCTGTGAATCACATCAGACCTAACCTTTTTGTAAACATTTTTAACGTATTTGGCTTAAAATGGCTTTGCTCAATCATAAAGCTAACAACTGATACCAATATAGGGTGGTGGTAATATATATATATATATATATATATATATATATATATATTTTTTTTTTTGCAGCTTTCCCCTGTTCCTTTACTCTGTACACCAAGAAGTTGAGTTCTTGGAGTTGGGGCAGCACTTTGTGGGATGATGTGAAAACAGATAACATTATTAATATCATGAGGGAGGAAGGAGCTGTTGGAGGAGTACTGTACTAGATTGTAGAGGCGAATGTGAAGCTGTTGACAAGAAATAACAGAGCAGACTACTTTTTGAGAAAACTTAGATCTTTGTGTCTTTCTTAAAGTGTGTTGTGAGGAGTGTGGTCTATTCTGCCATCATGTGCTGGGGTAACAGCATCAGGGAGTGAGTTAAAGAAGCTCTACAAGAGGATAAGGAAGGCTCCTCTAGAACCTCTGGAGATGATTTTACAAAGGATAAATATTCATGAAATAAAGTACTTTACAAGCAATCCTGAGCATCATCTTTAGAGGACGGCATCAGACGGCATCAGGCAACAAAAGATTGTTTTCAGTTAGATGCTTTTCCCTATCGACTGTAACAGACAACCACAGGTGATCCTCTCTACATACTGCTATCAGCATCTACAACATACCATCTAGCTTCTGATAAACTTGTATACCTGTTGAGGATATAAGGTTTGAATAGGAGTTTCAGCAGGGAAACATTTAAAACATGCAGGACATGGACCTCCAAGGGCAAGAGTTTGGGAGCACTTCAAAATACTAACATAAAAAATAACCAGGAATATATTGAAAGCAGCCATTTTACTGGAACAGCTAACCTTTTTGTTCAGTTTTTACACATATATATTTTACACTTAGACATATATATGTGCAAAAATGGGATTCAAGAAAATGAAAACATCAATTTCATGTAACGTGAAATTAAAGTGTAAGAAGGAACTCATCTACCAGCAGAATGCAACTGTAAAAATGTACCGATGATGCTACGGCCTTGATTAAAACCTATAATAATAATTCCTAGTGTCTGTTCTTTTTTAAAGTTGTGTTTAAAGCTTAATTATAGGAAACATCTTCAAATTTAGGTACTGATTTAATCAATCCTGTGTATATGGTTATCAGTGATTTCCTGTTTTATCTCCAGCTTCTTCCTGCTGAACACACCGTAATAGTTAGTATTGTTTACATTTATCTGTCCATGTTATTCTTTTATCTTCCTTTCATCTTTCATCACAGCTAGATGCCTAAAAGCATTAATTTGCTCACATGTGATTGGCTCACTCGCTAATTACGTCAGGACGCACCTGAGCAGGTGTCCATACCGTAATAAAGTAGAGGGTATGCCCTTGCATTTTAACAAACAAACAGCAGGGGGCGGTGTTGTTGCTTAAATGAAGTTTAACCTCAGCGTTTCTGTTCTCTTCTGACTTCAGACAAACAAACGCAGCTCAATTGTTTCACATAAAGATAATAATAGTTTTATTCAGCAGCTTTTAGACAAGTTTAACGATCTTCTTTTTATAATTTGACATGTATTTAGGGTTTTTTCAACATGTGCGCTTCAATTTAAGTGACAGCAAGAGGAACCAATCAGAGAGCGGTTTGTCAGGGCAGACGTAAAGGTGAGTGTTAAAGCTTCAGGCTGCAGAGCAGACTACCTGTTTGTTCTCCCAGTGTCCCAAAGCTGCTGCAGAAACACCTGGAAACGTTTCGGTTCAACAGCGCAGTGATGCCGGGGAGCTCCTGCAGACAGAGGAGGGTTTTCCCGGAATGAAGCCCTGATTGCTCTGCAAACAGCTGCAGGGAGGAAGCTCTGGTGAATGGGTCTGTGGAAGAAGTGTGCGCTGCGGCTGTGCTCGGATGGGATGCACGGTGAGCTTCATCTGCTGCGAAGACGACTTTCTGCAAATGCCCCTTTACCACCATGAGGACCAGAAAAAGAAAAAGGTGAGCAGAGGAACTTTTGCTGGTCATTTATATACTTTCCTCTTATTTATGGGGCTGTGCAAACATCTCAGGGAGCTTCTGATCTTCCTTCCAAGCAGCCAGACTTCCTAATAGTCTGTTGAACATTTATTGTAGTTTATAACTGTTTTGATTTCGACTTAAGCTGCTTTTCTCCACTTTTAGTTCATCTAAGGATAAAAAATGTCACAGTCAGTGGCGGTTCTAGACCAAATGTACCAGGGGGCCAGCATTGTTTTCATTGGGGCCCAGAAAAGGGATTCAGATATATTAAGAGAGCTGCATGAAAATAATTTTTTTTATTCAATTAGGTTTAATTAAAATTATATGTCTTATTACGTCAATGTACATTCATAATTTAGGAATTTTACATTTTTTTGACTTAATTTAAATGATAATTTCTGTAAAATCTGAATTAGAACTCAAGAAAAACCAGATAAATTCAGCTGCAAAAATGTGTATTTTTTATTTGTTTTGAAAAAATAATTTAGCAGATGAAACCTGGGATTCTATTTCAGTACCACTGAAGCTATTACCTTATTCATTTTAAATAGTTAGTAAAACAGAATTTATTAAAGAAATAGATCCAAAGGACCTATCGGTAACCATGTCTGTTCCAGCGCAGATCCAGTGTTAGGTCTTCGGTACAGGGGCCAGGACATGATCCACAGGGGCACTGGCCCCTGTTGGCCCCTGTCTAGAACCACCCATGGCCCCAGTGCTTATGGTCCACCATGTTTTAACACACCTGATGGTAAACGGCTGCATTCTCTCCTCAGACCCGAGGTGTTGCCAGGAAATTTTAATATGGGTGGCCAGGCAATAACCAATGAACACTGAGGGGTGGCCAAAAGTAGATAGACACCAAAACCTCAGGGTCAATCTCTACTGTTCCAAAAGGAAAATTAACGAGCAAAACCTCCATATTTTCTAAATAAAGACAAAATAGCTAACAAATAGAGGACTATATCCAAATATCCATACTTTCTATATAAAAGGTATAGTGGATAAAATCCTTTCAGGTTTGAGTTCTGGGGAGAACATCTTTTTCATTTTCATTACTTACCTACCTTTATCATTAATTATTCTGCATAAAGTTGATATTTAAAAGTACTAATGTCTACGTAAATTGATAATTTAATATGTTTTTTTTAATTAAAATAGTTATTTATCTATGATTTCACTGAAGACTCCCAGATGACTTGCAGAGACACATCATTTTGACTTTACCCCATAAAACAGAAACTCTATTTCTGTAAAGAGAATGAAATCTGTATTTATCATCTTTGATGTTAGTGTATTGATCTTCATAATTAACCAGTATTTTTGTTGTTAATATATGAAAAATGTAAATGTTTTGCCACAATCTGTATTAGAGGGAAATAAATGGTAGGGGTGGCCACAGTGGTGGCCAATGATTGGCTAAGGGTGACCATGGCCTCCCCTGGCCCCCCATCTAGCTCCACCCCTGCCTCAGACTCACACCATGTTCTGCAGCAGCCTTTTCAATGCATACATTTAAATCAGATGTCTTCCAGCTCATGGAGGACACTGGGCCTTTAGGACAGCAGTCACTCTGCTGAGCTCCATTGATCCAGGTCTGACCTGCTGTAACTCTGCTTCTGTTTGAGAACCAGGTAAACCATTCACTTTATTGAATGCCAAGGGCCAACTGAAAATAAACCCTACTTCCTTCATACTTCCACTCATTTACAGGGAGATCATAAGATCCACCTGGGTTGTTTTTTTTCTTCCTCAGATGATCACAGCTGTTGGGTTATATAAAAGCAAAGTCAACATGGAGGGACAAAGTTGTTTTTGTTGCTCTCAGACTGAATCTGTGCTCTTCCACATGTATTCCTCCTCTGAGCTATTGGTGAAGATAATTGGTGCAGCTATCAGCACCTTCCTTCCTACGTAAAGACGTATGTGCTTTGATATTTGCCTGTGATGTGGCTTCAGGTTGATCTCGGCTTCCATCCCTATAAGCTGTGGCTGTGATGATGGCGATAAAAGGGATTTATCATGACCTAATCACACCTTTTCCTTTTAAGCTGCTGTTAGGGTTTATCAAACAAACTGTAGGATGAAAGTAGGTGAAGCTCAAGTTTGCTCAGACAGGACTATATTTTCCTTCTCTATATGGAGGGCTTTTATCCTGTTTACCATTTCCAGCTCTGTCTGGTAACACCTAAATAATCTACCTCATTATTACTCACTTGTTGGTATTACTGCTCATTAGTTAGCATTACTTCTAGTTAGTTGGCATTACTACTCATTAGTTGGTATTACCACTCATTAGTTAGCATCATTAGCCATTAGTTAGCATTACTTCTAGTTAGTTGGCATTACTACTCATTAGTTGGTATTACCATTCATTAGTTAGCATCATTAGCCATTAGTTAGCATTATTACTCTTTAGTTAGCA